AGTAGCTAAGACAAGCAAACATGATGTTCCTTCTAATTTGCCAAACTATTTGAAAAGTTGTGTTTCCAACTGGATTATCCCCCTTTTATGGGTAGTGGTATTTGGAAAAGGTCTGAATTTGCTTCAAACTCTCTCGCTTTTTTGTGAGTTTGCATTTCCATCCAGGGAATAAATTTGGAGGGACTAATCTACTCAGAAATGAATCCATGTAAATCTTAACTGCCTCCACATCAACAAGTCCTTGGAAAGAAGCAGGAAGGGCACTGGTCCCACAGACAATTCACTGCCTGGGACAAAAAGGGCTTGTGTAAGTTTTGAGCACAATTGTATCCATCACAGGGCAGGAATGTGGGCTGGGCCATCCTTATTTTCTCTGTTTAACAGTAGTGTAATTGCATGCCTCAGTGTGCAAGAGCAGACTGGAGTGGCTTTTCTTAACTTAGTAGTTGCAGCTTCAAAAAGGTACCCATGCGGGTTGACACATGGATCCATGGAGCAGCCCCTGCTGATAGTCTAAGAGTGAGGAATTGCAGGATCCTGGCCTCAGGATTCAAAGCACTGGCCTGAGGGATTAGAAGGGTAAATTCAAGAGGCCAGTTGTGGTTAAAAGCACAGTTCATGCTGTGACTGTTTCAGTTCTCAAAGAAACTGAATGGAATGGGTAAGTCAGTCAGCAGGCAGAATTAGGACCTTCTCTCCCCCTGGTGAAATACATGGCACAGTAATACAGGTGTGTTTTGCCTGGGGCAAAGGTCTTCAATAGGAGTCTCTCCTGCTGTTAACCATTATCTTATAAAATTATTGCCTTGTACCTCAAAGGTGAGAACTGCAAAGGCTAATGAGCTCGTTCTCTGGGCCCACCACTTCCATCCCCTGCTGCCACACCAGAAAGCTGAGTGTCCTTCACCAAGTTCTTCACTGGAGGTGGGAAGACCCCCAGCATACATCCGCCATGCAGGGAATCTTGTTCCCTTGGCAATGTTTGCAGCATGCATCACACCAAGAGCACCTTCCTGGTTATTTCCAGCTGTTGCGTTGGACATGACATTGCCAGTCTGAAGAGATCACGCACAGGGTAGCCTTTCAGCTCAAAGTGCTGTTACACTGAATTCCTAGCCCTCAGCTAGGAATTTAATTTGGGTTTCCCAAAGATACGTGTCTTCTTCTTAGAAGATAGAAAATGCCAATAAGCATCTGCCCTGTGCTAGCAGGAGGGTAGGACTGTAACAAGACTGCGTGGGAGAGCACTGAGGGCATCATTTAATATTTAGACAACTCAAAGAACTGTATTGGTGGGTTGTCCTTTGACTCATCATAACAGAAACACATCTGGAGTACTCAGGGGTTGGAAGAAATCTTCCCAGCACAGTTGTAAATAGCAGCTCCAAAGTCACAGACACACAGACCGTATTTGTAGAGTTGGAGAAGCATGTCCTCTCCTGCAAACCCTTGGGGCTAAAGGCAAACAGATACCCAATGAGTGAAATTAAATCAAGAAGTTTTAATTTGTGCCCTACGAAGTAAAACCAAAGAAGAACCCAGAGCCCAGAGGTATGACAATTCTGGATAGACACAGGTTAACCAAAGGTAAAACTGAGACCCATTTCAGACACACTTTAACGTGGTCTTCAAAGATAATGCCCTGTAATCAATTATCAGCATAGAATGACTGTGTCCACCCCACAGCACTGTTCTTAGCAGAAAGTCAAGCAGAAGCATGAGAGCAACTCTCTTCTAAAGCCATGTACATCTTTATTCTCCATCCAGGCCAGCAAGGATGGGAAAAGGGAATGCAATTAAAAATAACAATTAGCAAGCACACATTATCTTTATTTTAAAAAAACATCCAGGCTAGAGCAAACAAACACACTCACCAATCAGAATAACTGGAATTCCCTGCAGTTTGACAGTGGCACATAAGCAGAAATTACTTGTGAGTTTCTGAAAGCAAGGGTAGAACAAGACAAAAACTTGTGCTTTTTTCTATTACAACAAGTGACTATGATTATATATTTTGCAGCAGGCAAACCGCTCCAGGGGATAACGGAGAAAAGCTATCCAGAGAAAAGTTTGAATAAAACTTTTACAAATAGCACCAGAGCTAACCCCAAGCTTAAACTAGCCCCCACCAAAATCAATGGCAGAACACCCTGACTTCAGCAGAAGCAGAGGCAAGCTTGGTTAAGTGTAAAGAAGTAGAAAACACATGATGGATTGTTCCAGTATATCCCCAAAAAGGTGGCCCCCAAACCCAGAAGCATAGCTGCCATGGCAGAGGGAGGGTTATACGACTTCTCCGATGCTCCTTTGTTTACATAGCAGTAAGAGGCACAGATTTGGTTTTCTCTCCACTCTGGCAGGCTCTTTGCAATTCTGAAAGCAAATCCTGCAGCTCAGCAGACATTTCACATGGCCATATTCTGTAACAACCTAGTATTTATCATTCAAGCCCTTTGCAAGTGAAGGCTCTTTGTGCTACTGACCCCAGCCTTTCGTCTAGCCTTGAACAGCTGCTGTTTGGCAGTGACAGCTGAATTGGGTTTTCCTTCTCTGCAGCAATGCACACTTGCCAGCCATCCTTCCCCCAAACCCACTTGTTTGTTGCATGTTGGGGCCAAGACACACAATCCACTCCTTTCATGCCAGCAGTCTCCCTCTAGGCAAAGCATGAGAACACTTGCCAGCAGGCCTTCCTTCCCATTGCTTGTTAAGCAGCACTTCTTCCCACCCTCCAGCCACGTGGGAGCCTGCAATTTCCATGTGGAGGAGTACTTAGCAGAATGGCTGCGCTGGGTCACCACAGACTGCCAGCACTGGCATGACTTTTCCTCAGCTTCTCTATTAATTCAGAGGCATATCAAGCTCTCTGACTGAAACAGCCCTGTGAAAGGCATTTCACTGCGAAGTGGTCCCAGGCATATGTCAGCCTCTTTGAACCCCACTGAATTACCTGCCATGGCCTCACAGGTTGGGGTCTATTTTTTGATTTTTTTTTTTCTGGAAGTTCTGGTCATTGCCTTTAAAGACTTACCCAGTAAAAACTGAAAGGTGTGCATCAGACCTGCGCTTGATACTTGGCTTGTACACTATTCACAATGTTAATCCTCAAGCCAGTGCTAAGAGGCTGCTTTGGCTGTACCTCCCTGAAGGGGATGGACCAAGGATGCCGCAGGGACTTTACGTATTTCTCAGTGTCAGGCCTGGACTTGTTCATACATCAGAGGTTCCCCGATGTCCTAACCAGGACAGCCAGTCAGTGTAGTCTTGACCCTATCCTTGAAATGCAACACGAAGCATTAATTCCTGTGAAATCCAGCTTCTGAACGCTTCTCCTTACTGTCGTAAAACTAGAGCAGCTCCCCCTCTGGTAGGGAGGCTGGGGAAGTAAAATACCTATACAGACATGAGTGGCTGTGCAGCCTGACTGCACACTACAAATTATCTACCTACACACATGCAAAAGGTAGGCTCCTCTGGGGTGGGAGGTAGGCTCCTCTGGGTTGGGGCTGAGCCAGGCTTTCTAGCAGCAACTGCTGAACTAGAGCTCTCAGAAAATTAATCAATGTTCAGATGTGTAACTTGGTCCCCATCAGAGTCCGTTACATGTCTCTCTTATTTTCCTCATGTCCTCCTTAGGCCAAAACCCCAATAGGACTTTTCTGTTAGTAATTTTTTTAAAAAAAGACAATTAAAATGTCTCCAGCCTATGGTGGCCACCTCAGCCTGGTCTGGGAGCCCACTAAGATGCCATGCAAAGTCAGAAAAGGAGGGAAACCAATTATGAAAGAGACATAAGGGGAGGAGGGTGTATAATCCATTGCTCTTCCATATAATTACCCAGGAAGTGTGTGTGGGATGCAGATTTCCAGAGCTGAGGCACTAATGCAGTTTGCACTGGCACTAACAGACACGCACTCAGGAATGC